CATATCCTGGCTCCCTCTCCTTCGCGCTTGTGTGAGACTAGTTAATGGTCCAAGTCGGACCGAAACATCGTCATGAGTTTCATTCTATGTGTGGGTTATTTGTATATCTTTAATAAAGATCGCAGCAATAAAGAAGATTTGGACGGTTCTTAATGCATTGAAAGAGGCAATGGAACAAGAGGAAGGAGAGAGAATGGTCACAAATGGAACAGTAAACGTTGACAGTGATCCACGGAACACTTCTTAAATTCTGACCTGTCCTACTGAGAAACTTTACTGACAGTCTCGCATGACTGACATGACCAGCAGCACAGGTTTTTGATCCTCACTTCAATTTAAACTGGTCTCTGCCAGAAGAAAAAGCAGGCGCTTCAAAAGATCAAGGGCGTTAAATGGTCCAAAAGGATGAATCAACTGAGTCAAACCCACCTAAGAGGCCCCGCCCTCTTTTCGTTCGGGCCCTTTTCAGCTGGAGGTAATCACCCACTGATGACCTGGAACAAGCTTTGGAAAGTTACACATATAAGAGGATTATGCTCCATTCGAGGTAGATCCCTCGGCCCGCTGGAGGAGTCTTCACCAGAGATGCTGCCCCTGGAGACAACAAGAGAAATGACAGGTTGAACAGCCACTTCAGCACCGTCACAGACAGTATTTACCAAGGCAGAAATTATTTACTCGCAGACAGCACCTGCAACCTTCCGTGAACTTCTTATAAAGTAGAACCAAGAAATTTATGATTACCTTCCATGTTTGACTCTTAATGAAATGTAATATGTAAAAATGGAAGTAACTTAAATGTAATTTGTTGTGCACCATTAAAGTCAATATAATTATATTACTATTATTAAAGTTGTGAAATAACTCATACGAAATATTCAGCTTTTGGGTGCAGTTTTCTGGTCTAAATTATACTGAATAAAAAAAAATATTACGGTAAATATTACGTCTTAGATTTAACACAGTAAAGTGAATAATAAAAAACAAAAATGATTTAGTTATTGGTAATCTAGCTGGATCTTTGACTGATTTAATGTAACAAATATTATGCACATCTTAACCACCTCTTTGAAGATGTAACTAATGATGTCACTGTACACTCTTCAAGTATATATATTTAAGTACTAAATTTGTTTATCTCAAGCATTTAACAGTGACTTCAACATTAGTAAAACTGGAAGTAATTGATGTATACAAAATATCAAGAAATTGTATCGCAATATATTTTCTGGTTAAATTATAGTTGATAATCTGGAAGAGTAATTGGGTTGACAGAGCTCCTGGAGAGCGAAACGTTGCCACTGCAAAAAGTCACAATAGCTCTGACGTCCCACATCATAAAAATCTTTGAAAGAGTGCTAAGAAGCAGGATTGCAAATCACCTGGATTCCCAAAATCTACACAATCCAGGGCAACATGGGTTCAGGGCAGGTCGCTCCTGCCTCTCACAACTACTGGATCACTATGACATGGCCTTGGATGCACTGGAAGAAAATCAGAATGCAAAATGCAAAAGCATTTGACAAATGCGATCATGGCGTAATAGCCCATAAAATACGTGCTAAAGGAATAACTGGGAAAGTGGGGAGATGGATTTTCAACTTCCTAACAAATCGAACACAAAGAGTAGTGGTCAACAGAGTTAAATCGGAGGCTGCCATAGTGAAGAGCTCTGTTCCACAAGGCACAGTACTCGCCCCCATCTTATTCCTTATCCTCATATCAGACATAAACAGATATACACCACAGCACCGTATCATCCTTTGCGGATGATACTAGGATCTGCATGAGGCTGTCTTCTGCTGAGGACGCGGTTAACCTCCAAGAAGATATAAACAAAGTTTTCTAGTGGGCAACGGTAAACAATATGATGTTCAATGAGGACAAATTCCAACTACTCCGTTATGGAAAACTGGAGGAGATAATAACTAGAACAGAGTATACTACTGACTCCGGCCATACAATAGAGCGGAAAAATAATGTAAGGGACCTGGGAGTAGTAATGTCTGAGGATCTCACTTTCAAGGATCACAACAGTGCCACGATCGCACGTGCAAAGAAAATGATAGGATGGATAATGAGAACTTTCAAAACGAGAGATGCCAAGCCCATGATGATCCTCTTCAAATCACTTGTTCTCTCTAGGCTGGAATACTGCTGTACATTAACATCTCCATTCAAAGCAGGTGAAATCGCAGATCTAGAGAGTGTACAGAGATCCTTTACTGCACGTATAAGTTCTGTCAAGCACCTTAACTACTGGGAACGCTTGGAAGCACTTGACTTGTACTCGTTGGAACGCAGGAGGGAGAGATATATCATAATCTACACTTGGAAAATCTTGGAAGGAATGGTCCCAAATCTGCACACAGAAATCACTCCCTACGAAAGTAAAAGACTGGGCAGGCGATGCAAAATGCCCCCAATAAAAAGTAGGGGCGCCATTGGTACACTAAGAGAAAAAAACATAAGTGTCCGGGGCCCAAAACTGTTCAACAGCCTCCCATCAAGCATTAGGGGAATTGCCAATAAACCCCTGGCTGCCTTCAAGAGAGAGCTGGACAGATACCTAAAGTCAGTGCCGGATCAGCCGGGCTGTGGCTCGTACGTTGGACTGCGTGCGGCCAGCAGTAACAGCCTAGTTGATCAGGCCCTGATCCATCGGGAGGCCTGGTCATGGACCGGGCCGCGGGGGCGTTGATCCCCGGAATAACCTCCAGGTAACCTCCAGGTAGGTGAATGTGTCCATTCACCTAACACTGAGAACTAGGCGAGTGTCAGAGGTCCCCGACTCCTCAAAGCCCTCCCTTCATGCATACGGAGAATTACAGATAAACCTTAGGTGGTCTTCAATTGGGAATTGGACAAGTTCTTCTCGAAAACCATCTCTGATCAGCCGAGCTGTGATTCGTATGTTGGACTGCGCGTGGCCAGCAGTAACAGCCTGGTGGAGCCACCTGGAGCCACCAGAAGGCCTTACCAGGGATGAGGCTGTGGGGCGCTCATCTCCGGAAGCATCCATCAGTTACCCTTCAAACAGTGCTATTATTCTTCATGTTATTGTTCAGTGTTTTTGTTATTGTTCAGTGTTCATGTTATTGTTCAGTGTTCATGTTATTGTTCAGTGTTCATGTTATTGTTCAGTGTTTTTGTTATTGTTCAGTGTTCATGTTATTGTTCAGTGTTCATGTTATTGTTTAGTGTTCATGTTATTGTTCAGTATTCATGTTATTCAGTGTTCATGTTATTGTTCAGTATTCATGTTATTGTTCAGTGTTCATGTTATTGTTCAGTGTTCATGTTATTGTTCAGTGTTCATGTTATTGTTCAGTGTTTTTCTTATTGTTCAGTGTTCATGTTATTGTTCAGTATTCATGTTATTGTTCAGTGTTCATGTTATTGTTCAGTGTTCATGTTATTGTTCAGTGTTTTTGTTATTGTTCAGTGTTCATGTTATTGTTCAGTGTTCATGTTATTGTTTAGTGTTCATGTTATTGTTCAGTGTTCATGTTATTGTTCAGTGTTTTTCTTATTGTTCAGTGTTTTTCTTATTGTTCAGTGTTCATCATGCTGTTAATAAGATTCTGAGTGGTCAGAGATCGAGGCTTAAACCTATTATAACAAGCGCGATTTAATTTAGCCTAATCCAACTAAATATATTTTAGATAAGTTTACAATTTAATAATAAACAAACACAAAGAAATATTTTTTTTTCGTTAGGTTCAGAATCATTTTTGCGAAATTATTGCATGCACCAATTTTCGCTTGCCTTATTCGCAAGAAACGCGTTGCTATTTAAGCCAAAATAGCAAGTTTTACCTATTCGGCACGACATATATACACGGTACACATCTGCATACATCAAGGGCATCACTAGGCTGGTAATGAGTGCTGATAAATTCAAGATGAATAATGATAATATCCTCAGGTACCTCGGGGTATGTAGTGTTGACACAGTTCCAAACGCCACAGTCCACCAGGCTGACAGTCACTGACACTCCGCTACAAAATAGTAAGGCTCGTGTGCCGCCTCATTTTCACAGAACTTGCGTGTAAAATAAGCAGGGATGGGGGAGTCACCTGTGGTGGCACACATCTGTCACAAGTGACGATAGCCCAACCTGATTCTGGCAATGTGTCGTACAGTCTCATACACACAACATTCTGACTGGAACAAATAACAGTGTTTGATACTGGTAGTTTCAGGTCTGTGGTAACGTGTGTCTCCTCGTCTTCCAGAGCTGATATCCTTCAGCAAGATGGTTTAAACAATGAACAGAGGGATGCCCAGGTATATATTTAATGAAGACAAACCTTGAACCCAGGTTGTCAGGGCCAACAAATTTACAACCAATGAGGAAATAATTTCACCTCTCACACTAAAGAAAATGCTGGCCTCAACGTCCTTGGAAGATGGTTGAGAGAGCAGCACAGGCCTCACTGCTCTCCTTCCGCCCACGTAAAGGTGATGCAGCTTTAGGGGATGATGGTAGCCAAGGTCGAAGCTTGAATGAACCTCACCCAAACTCCCCCCCTCCCTCCCCTACGTAAAGGTGACCCAGTTTTGGGGGATGGTTGGAGCATAAGAGACCGTGTCAGGACGTTGTCCTGGCGAACGTTATTAGGGAGCCAAGGTCAAGACTTCAAACAGTACCGCCTTACTACCCCTCACGTTTTCGGCCATAATTTTCCTCCATAATTTTCTGATGTTTCGCGCAATAGTCTTGAACACCCTCCCTGCAAATATAATGAAAATTATAACTCACGAAATCGTAATGACACTAGTGGAGTTTTACGACTGACTCGCCACGAGTTCAAGCCCCACCCGTGGTATGGTTTTAATGAAAATTACTAATAGACCTTAACTGCTAAAGAAACTGCTGCTCTGCTGGGCTATGGTGCACGTAGCAAACACTACTAGTTTGAATTATCACACTGCCAACAGCGGCTAGTAGGGAAGGCGGTGAACCATGTACAAGCAGAGGTAAAGATACACTTACCATAGAATCCTCGAGTTCCTCTATCTTCTCCTGCAGTATCTGGGTGAGATCCTTGTAACTCTTGCCGTTCTCCTTCCTGGCGTGAGCTATAGCCAGGCGTCTCAGCGAGTCGTGTTGAGGCTGGCAAGGCACCAAAGACGCCCCATTGTTATGTTCTGGTATTAGGCTCTCTAGGGCCATGTAGGCCTGCGCCAGCAGTTCGTCTACCCGAGAGTCTGAGGAAACGCGCGACACCTTGCCGCTCACTGGCTCTCTCAGCAAGTCTTCACACAAGATCTTCTTGTCTCCGTCGCCCAGGACACCGATACCCTTGACTTGTCTCAGTCCTGCGTTAGTACGAAGTAGCTCGATACCGTCACTGGCGCTCTTGTTAAGTGGTGTAGGCTTCATCTTGCCCTTTGTGATCCCGCCACAGAACACAGCCGAGGCTCGAGCGCTCGGTGACTTGGCAACTCTCTTCCAAGTTGAAGTCTTCATGTGAAAAACTTGATTAATATTGTTTTGGGGAGATAGTAGTTTCCTGGGGGTGGAGAGTGGGGTAGTGCCTGGGGTAGTGACTGGAGTAGTGACTGGGGTAGTGCCTGGGGATGTCTCCGGGGAGGAGGAGAGCTCACTGGAAGAAGCATCACTCTCGCTAACACGGCTGCGCTTACTAAAATGACTGTTTACAGTCTTGACGGCTGCGTGTGATGACTGAGAGCGGCGTGTAGGGTAGGCCAAGTCCGACGGGAAGTTGGTAGGCACGCGGCGTATGCCCTGAGTTCTGCGTGTAGGCGACGCTCCGTCGCGGCGCGTGCGGTCGTGGCTACCTAGAACTTGATCACTTATCAGCTGAGATATTAGTCTGGATCCAGCCTTCCTGCCAACATGACCGCCCACAGTGTCGTCGGGTGGGTCGTCTCCTGCAGCGTCCTGGCTCTGAGAACGACCCACACACTTCATCTTGGCAGCTGAGGCGTGGGTGGGGGTGGAGTATAGGCGGTCCACCACAGCAACAGAGAATGCACTCGGCGCCCGCGTGGGCGTTGTGGGCGGAGATTGGCTGCATCCGTTGGAGCGACACTTATGCGAAGACGGCGAATCAACGATGGAAGTCATGGGGCCAAAAGGAGTGCCAATGGTTAGCCTGGACAGTGGGTCTAGGGGCATGTCATTGGCACAGTGTGGTCGCTTACACTCGTGCGTGGGCTCACACGTGCAGCTCTCGGGCACGTGTATACCGTACGGGCACGGCCGCAAGCGCCACTGTGGTTTGTGGTAGGTCCTGAGCGAGTTCTCAAAGGGACCGAAGAGATCGAAGGCACTAGGCATGATGAGGACTGCCTTGGCACTATACTAGGCACTGCATGTGGCACTGACACATGGAAGGCACTAGGCACAGCATACACACACACACACAAACATACTGGCTGGGTTCTCACTATCAAGGAGGCGTCAAAATCACCACTAAGAGAAGAGAGGAAGCAACAACACTGTGAACACTGGGAGACCAGCCACGCTACTGACTGTGTTGTGCTGCTGCTGCTGCTGCTGCCTGGTGGTGGTGGTGGTGGACGCTCGCTAACCCATCACCACCACCACCACCGCTGCTGCTACCCTCTACCGCCACTACTACTACTACTACTACTACCACCACCACCACTATTATCCCGTCTACCACCATCATTAGTACTACCACCACCACTATTACCGCCTATGTATGACCACCAGTATCCTCCACCACCACCACTACCTTAAGCGTGCCCACATATTATACACGCTGGTTGCCTCCTGGTACACACACAACAGTAATACCTCCAACACATTATACAACATTTCCACACATCCATACAACTTAAATTGCTTCGTATACAACAAACATAAATAACACATCCACACCCCCACTCACCCTCTACACACACACACACACACATGGAGAAGATTATCAGGAGGAGAGTAGTGGACCACCTGGAACGGAACAAAAGTATAAATGACAACCAGCACGGTTTCATGGAAGGCAAATCCTGTGTCACAAACCTTCTGGAGTTTTATGATAAAGTAACAGAAGACACGAGAGAGAAGGGTGGGTTGATTGCATCTTCTTGGACTGCAAGAAGGCCTTCGACACAGTTCCTCACAAGAGATTAGTGCAGAAGCAAGAGGATCAGGCACGTATAACGGGAAGGGCACTTCAGTGGATCAGAGAATACCTGACAGGGAGGCAACGAGTCATGGTACGTAATGAGGTATCACAGTGGGCACCTGTGACGAGCGGGGTCCCACAGGGGTCGGTCCTAGGATCAGTGCTATTTTTGGTATATGTGAATGACATGACGGAAGGGATAAACTCAGAGGTGTCCCTGTTCGCAGATGATGTGAAGTTAATGAGGAGAATTAAATCAGATGAGGATCAGGCAGGCCTTCAAAGAGACCTGGACAGGCTGGACACCTGGTCCAGCAACTGGCTTCTCGAATTCAACCCTGCCAAATGCAAAGTCATGAAGATCGGAGAAGGGCAAAGAAGACTGCAGACAGAGTATAGGCTAGATGGACAACGACTGCAAACCTCGCTCAAGGAGAAAGATCTTGGCGTGAGTATAACACCGAACACGTCTCCGGAAGCACACATCAACCAGATAACTGCTGCAGTATATGGGCGCCTGGCAAACCTGAGATTAGCATTCCGATACCTAAGTAAGAAATCATTCAAGACACTGTACACCGCGTACGTCATTCCTATACTGGAGTATGCAGCACCAGTTTGGAACCTGCACCGGGTCAAGCACGTTAAGAAATTAGAGAAAGTGCAAAGGTTTGCGACAAGGTTGGTTCCAGAGCTAAGGGAAATGTCCTACGAAGAAAGGTTAAGGGAAACTGGCCTGACGACACTGGAGGACAGGAGGGTTAGGGAAGACATGATAACGACATACAAAATACTACGTGGAATAGACAAGGGGGACAGAGATAAGATGTTCCAGAGAGGGGACACAGAAACAAGGGGTCACTCTTGGAAGTTGAAGACTCAGATGAGTCACAGGGATGTTAGGAAGCATTTCTTTAGTCATAGAGTGGTCAGGAAGTGGAACAGTCTGGCGAGTGATGTAGTGGAGGCATGAACCATACATAGCTTTAAAACGAGGTATGATAAAGCTCATGGAGCAGGGAGAGAGAGGACCTAGTAGCGTTCAATGAAGAGGCGGGGCCAGGAGCTGAGTCTCGACCCCTGCAACTACAATTAGGTGAGTACACACACACACACTAACGGTCGAGAGAGAGAGTGACGGGATGTAACCAACATTTCGCTGTACAAAGCAAATGAGTTAATTAGGAGTTGATTACAAGTGTGTAACTATCAGAGGTTAGCATCTTACGTCGGGTAGAACTTGGCAAGGAAGTCCAGTGACAGATGTCATCTTGGCCAGTTTATACCCGGAGTATACCTGGAGAGGATTTCGGGGATCAACGCCCCCGCGACTGTAACTGTGATAGCCTAAATATCCCAAGTCAACTAGATGCTACCCTGGCAGTAGTCGTGCCCCTGGTGAGGACGGTATGGCCCTCACCAGGGGCAAGGCCACTGCCCCTGGGGAGGAATTTATGGCTCTCACCAGGGGAAAGGCCACTGCCCCTGGAGAGGAATGTATGGCCCTCACCAGTGGCCTTTCACCAGGGGAAAGGCCACTGCCCTGGGAAGGAATGTATGGTCCTCACCAAAGGCAAGGTCACTGCCCCTGGTGAGGAAGGCATGGCCCTGACCAGGGGCAAGGCCACTGCCCCTGGGGAAGGCAGTATCGGCTATGACACTAAATTACCGAGACGTGTAGCTGGTAAACTCACTGTTACAAGTGTACAATATGAGTTATGAGTCAGTTACCTTCTTCGTGGAGGAATAACATTGCTGTACCAATACCCAAACCTAACAGATGACTATATAGTACAAAAGAACACACGTCTCCCAGTATCAATGGATTCCCACATGTCCAAGGTGTTACAAATTGTGTCACATTTTAACTACGCACGGAGACCCAGGACTCTCGAGGCACAAATACACAACTCTTCTCGATGTTCAAAATACTTTCGATGTTGCAAACAGGCAAGTTATTTTGCGTGAAGTAGCTACAATGGACATTGTTGGTCCACTGGATCTAACAGAAACTCTGCTGAAATGTTTCTCGGCTACAAAAGTGAAACTAAACAAATATAACTTGGTACTCCGCAAGGTGGTGTGTTAAGTCCTACGATGTTTAATATATTGTTAGAGATGAGACATTGCCAACATTTTTGCCGATACCGATAACATCAAAACTCGCCGATACCACTCGATACAGATACTCTGGCACGCCCCTAATCAACGCCTTACTAAAATCAGTACCAGATACCGCCAGTAATATCACAGTTATGCTGATGTTATTCTTGCACACCATGAAGTTTTTCGTGAACTACAAACCATATACCAGTCTGTGATAATCTTGACTTTAAAATTTCTCTAGAAAAGATCAAAATGTTTAACAGACACATTGGTAAAATAGGACCCTCAAAATTAAGGTTAACTGCGTCCTCCAGTAAATATTTAGGTACACTAACAGCAGTTAATAAAATTAACCGACTATGTAAAGACAGATTATAAATCTCCCAGAACTGTTGTAGGGCACAATCCTAACTACAAATTTTAGAAGTGCCAAAATGATTTATTTAGTGTACATAAGACGACTGATAGATTACCACTCACAGTTCAGTCTTGCAACACAGCAGAACCAATGACACTTGAAAACACAAAATAAAACCCTAAGAATAATTCTTGGCTGTCCAGCAGCCACCAGAATACTGAATACAAGGAAAAAGTTAGGTACATTTAACTCTTTCCTCATACTAATAAAATATGTGATGAATATGTGATGAAATAGAATATGCTGGTGAAAACAATGTTTCTAGAGAATTACTAGAACATATAATTTACTTGACAAGTGAATTAAGATGGAGCGAAATAACAGCCTTACACAGTAAAGTGTTTAGACAACATGAACTGCATCATGGTAGGAAACAACAGCACCAACCTGGCAGATAACATCTTTTGATATCACCTTTCCACGAAACTCATCATACACAAACCTCGTCTTCGACTACGTTCTGAACTCACTGCTCTGGAAGAAATACACGAACTGTACACATAAAATATCACACAGACTACGCTGATGGTTCCCGTAACAGTGGGAGGACGGTAAGTGCTGCTGATGTACACTGAACTGTTTGTTATACTTTGTTGTTCTCAAGCTTGTGGAAACTACCACTAGACACTTCAATAGTGACTGATATACTTTTATTACTTGTTCTTAATAGCTGAGACCTGAATGTAGTATGCTTGTGCATGAAGCCAGCCAGACATACACCCAAATTAAGAAAGGGATTACAGTTAATCTTTGTGGATTCCTTCTCACATAGGCCTCAACAACATGACAAAGTTGATGAATTAACTAAACAAATATTATAAAGAATCCTACACTTTTTTTTCGCGCTAACGCTCACAGGATGAGCATTGAGTTTACAATACACTAGCCACACATGTGGCACACCAACAGTGGGCGCGGTATCCATATAACCTAGACAACAGTAACACCGGTGGACAGGACCCTTGCTTAAAGGAGATGGAATCTACACTGACGACAACAAGGAAATGAGTGGAATACCGAAGTTGCAATATAACTGTTCAGCGAGTCATTAATCAATATGAACGGTTTTTTCATGGATGAGACTCGAAAGCCAGACTTCGAAAAAGCCAGCGGTGGCATGCCATGCACTCTGCCTCGGGCCCTGACTCAAGGAACTTAATATTCATCAACAACAGCAAGAAACCACTATTTAATGCCTTGAATATTCTATAAGAAAGAGTCAGGACACAAGAACCATCCCACAGTCAGTAAACCACTGACAGCCCCACTCCACATAGGCGGCAATAAATCCCTCGAAAAAACTTAAGACCAAGAGTTCTGGCTTCCCACGTCGTGAAAATCTTTGACTCTTAAGAAGCATGATTACTAATCACAGGGAATCTCAATAACTGCACATCCCAGGACAGCACTATATCTAAGACCACGTTGTAATGGTGAACCAATCGCTTGTCCATTACATGGTCCTATATACCGTGGAAAACTACGAAAATGCAGATGTAGTCTACACTGACTTCGCACAAGCCTCGGACAGGTGCGACCATGGTGTAAGAGCTCACAAAATGCGTGCAAAAGAAATAACTGGCAAAGTGGGCAGATGGATATTTAATTTTCTAATGAACAGAACCCAAAGCATAATAGTGTACAGAGTGGAAAGCTCTTGTCCCCAAGGCACAATACTGGGCTCTGTTCTCTCTCATTTTCACATCCAACATAGACAGAGGCATAAATCATAGCACTGTATCATCCTATGTAGACGACATTAGAATCTGTATGAGAATGTCATGCATTAAGGAAACATCAACCTCCTCCAAACTGATATAAACAAAGTCTTCTGGTGGGCTACTGACAACAATA